AATGAGACACAGAGTGGCTAGAAAACTGCCTTCCATTCTAAGCGGCTTATTCAATCAATTATTAAGCAGCATGAAAGGAATCTGCTCAAAGTGTGGTCTAAAGTTATTTTAAAAATAAAGACAACATAAAAATCAAATAGCACATTCCTGTCAATTTCACCACACAGGAATTAGAGGCAGAAAAATCACTGCATATTTAAGGCCAATCTGGTCTACATTTCCAGACCAGCCTAGGCCACCCTGTCTCAAACACACCCACAACACATTCCCCAAAGTCAAAAGTTAAAAATACAAGAAAATAAAGTCACAATGAGGTCATAATTACAAACTTTTGTTTAAATGCAAGCAATTCCTTATGATTCAGCCTAGATTTGGAATATTGGCTTTTTCTTCCCCTTTTATATGAACCCTGTTAAAAGAGTTAAACAGAAGATAGTTTTTAGGCTATGAGTTACAGGAACACATCTTCAGAAACATCTTGCTATGACACTTGTGTTTTGCCTTTTATATTCAACCCACCATGAGAACTGGGGAGATTAAATATGTTGTCAAAATGTTAACATAATTTGTTAAAACAGGCAAGAAGGCAGTTTAGTGAGACTGTTCAAAATAAACAACAAAAAAGAAAGATGAGGGAGGCTGGGGCTGAGTCGAGTCTCAGAGCCTTTGCCTCAAGTGAGCAAACCCATGCTTAGTCACCAGCCCAGTAACTACAATAAATAGTCATCCAGGAAAAATAGTAATTTCTATATTAGAAGTTTTTAATAAGTCAGTAAGGAAGCAAGTCTATAATCAAAACAAAGTAAGTTTAAGAATTCTATCAAATGTAATTCTATATTTCCTTAAAGGAAACAAAAGTAAATTATACTTTTTAAATAATTTGATTTAAATAAATTGAGTGATCCAGTTTAGTGATATTAAATGACATGAAAAGAATGACCATGGTATAGGGCTGAGGGTATAATTCAGAAGTAGGCAATTGCCTAATATGTACCAGGTGGGAACAGGGAAAACTATCTTTGAAAATACTAACTAAATGACAACCAAATTTAGCTTCACTATCAGTCCAACCAAATCTCAGAGAGAAAAACTCAATTATGATACAGGAAATTTACAACCCTGCACATTGGTTAGGACAAAAAGTTAATTAAAAATTCAAAAACTCAGACTCATTAGAGATTAATATTTGAAATAAAAATCTATTATACATGAATTCTTGCTGGTGTCCCTAATAGTTTACGATATAATCAAATTTAGTTTAGAAAAAAGCATCCAGAAGCAAGACATTTAAAACATGAAAGAAATAAAGGTGCTGATAGCACTATTCAGGCATCAAACTAACATCCTAACCTTGGAGCCAAAATGATCCAGTATCTATATAAATTGCCACATATTCAAATGAGATTTCGGCATGCATTTAGTAGTATAGAATTAGCTGTAAAACTGAAATAGTGTCAGATTATTTTCTATCCTCATGCTTTTAACAGGTATATGAAAATCAAATAAAAATTATCAGCTTAAGAGAACTCACAGATGAGTATTTTACAGAAATTTTTGTGGTTTGTCTCTCATGCAGTAGTAAAAGGTGTCACTTTGTGTTTACATAATTAATGTAAATTATGAGGCTTATAGTTCAGTCTTGTTCTCAATTGAATAGCAGAGTAAAAAGCTCACGGATAAGACAGAACTGCTTGGCTCTAAAATTTATCTTTTGAAGACTCAAATATTTTAAAATAGAAAGGATTACTACATATATACTCTTGGATGGATATATCAGGTTACTTTCCTTATCTCATAAGTGTACACTATACTCTAGCTACCGAAAAGCAATTTTCCATTAATAAGCCTTTGAAACGTATTTACTAAATATGTATTTTTATATTGTGGCCCAGTTTGCTTTTAGATTCAATTATAATAATAGATTTTTAATTAAAAAGAGTTAATACTTATATGAAATTTATTAAGTTTTATGATTCATTTATCAAGTATTTCTGAGCATAACAGATAGAAACAAAAGTAAATTAGTTATTGGGAAGTGGGCAAGGTAAATTATAGAACATTATTAGCAAAGCAGATACATGCCCAGAGAGATATCACAATTTTAACAAGCCTCAGGTAGGCCATTAGCATTTAAACTGCACATTTTTCAGAACATAAAGGAATATGGTTTTAATGAGAAATTTCTCAGGTAATCTTTAAGTTTAAAAAGCAGTTGGCAAAATGAAAGTACTGTTTAAAAAATTCCATAAGATTATTTTAAGGATAAATTAAATATTTTTATGACCTTGATAATTCTCATATTTCTCTCATCTGGTGGAAATATCTTAATCGAATCATTTTAGAAAATACATAATGACAAATTATAAACTTCATTTTGTCCCCTATATTCTAGAAATATTTTAAGATGAAAATAGGGTATGTATATTTTCTGATATATGTGCATATTTTTAGAAGTACTTACTACTGAAAACACATTTACCAATCAAAACACTCACTTACATAAGCATCCTTTGCAATGCTATACAAGATTACTGTCTTAGTAGTTACACAGAAAGGCTTTTACAACCAGTTAGCACTTATTTACAAGATACCTAAAGCAAAGTAAGATTCTGCTCAGCTATAATAGAGGGAAAACTAAAGCACAGAAATGCTAAGTAATTTGCCCACTAATTATAATGACTGATAAACTGCAAATATAAAATAATATGAAAAATTATACATATAACTCAACCTTCAAACATTTACATTTAACTGAGGACAGAAAATAAATGTGAAGGAATTTAGTGCATAGCCTGAATTACGAAGAGGTATTGTTTCAAATTCAAAGCAACAGACTCTACAGAGTTATGGATATTAGTTCATAGGAACTTGTGAAAATAACAAACTACACTCATTAAAAAAAAATTATGATCCCAAGGCACTGAGTTCTATAGGAAAATACAATGAATATAACATGTGTCTAATGAAGCACTGCAATATATTTCATATGGATATGCTGGAGTGGTGCGCGTGTGTGTTTGTATGGGTATGAATGCACGTGTGTATGCAGTGCAGATATGAAAGCCAGAAGCCAACCTTGAGAGTTGTTCTGCAGGAGCTACCTGCTATCTTCTTTGGTTTATATTTACTTGTTTGTTTATTTACTTGAGACAATGTTTTGTACTAAGATCTGAAGTTCCCTGACAAAGCTACAACAGCAGGCCAGTGAGCCCCAAGAGCTGCCTGTCTCTTCCTCCTTATCAAAAGATTAAATGCAAAGCCTACACACCCACACACTCAGCTTTTTTTGAATACTGGGAATCCAACTTAGATTTTTTTGTGTTAGTATGGCAGGTACTCTACTGACTTAGTTAGCTCCCCTGCCCTTGAAATATATCTTTACAGCAATAAAGACATATTTAAAAGACCATTCATGATACCATGGGTTCAAGTCCCACGATTACAAATAAGTAAATAAATATGTATGCAAATAATAAATTAAATATGTTAAAATAGTATGTAAGCATGATAAAGGTATATTGTGATCATAAACTATGATTTTTGGAGGAAGGATTTTTCAAACAATAATGGTGCCAATTACAAAATAACAAGATGCCAGGAAAACTGACAAATATTAAGTATAAAATTAATTCTACATAAAAATTTCAATCCAAGAACGCTAGTGCCTTTGGGAGGCATCCAGGCAGTGGGACCGGGTCCTGTGCTCATTGCATGAGTTGGCTGTTTGAAACCTGAGGCCTATGCAGGGTCGCTTGGCTCGGCCTGGGAGGAGGGGACTGGACCTGCCTGGACTGAGTCTACCAGGTTGACTTCAGTCCTCGGGGGAGGTTTTGCCCTGGAGGAGGTGGGAATGGGGGGTGGGCTGGGGGGAAGGTGAGGGGGGGCGGGAGGGGGGAGAACAAGGGAATCCGTGGCTGATATGTAGAACTGAATTGTATTGCAAAATAAAAAAAAAAAACTAATAACTTTCTATTTGATATTTGATGACTTATATTTTTGAATTAACACAAACAAGTTATATTCTTAGTGACTGAAATACATGACAGCATTTTAAAAGTAAATATTTTAAACCATACAATACAAATATATGTTTTATCAAATTTGTTTATTCTTTTTGAGATGCTGCCTTTCTTTGTCCCCAGTTAACTGAATATAGATTTGTTAACACACTTTCTGCAGGAATTCAGAAAATGTTCTCATCTACACTGTGTGAACTTTGTGTCATTGTCCTCTGAAGGACTACTAACTCTTTGAATTAGCATCTTTCGCTGTCCACCACCCCCACCCCCACACTCAGCACTTTCATAGTTTCTTCTTTTAGCCAAGAATGCAAATGGCTAAAATGGGAAGTCTCTGAACCCTGAGGAGTGGCCACTGGGTAGCATCAGCTGGGGTTCCTGGAAGGCATCATGTTCTATTTCAAATTTTTCAAAGTACGAAACAAAACAAACGAAGAAGGGAACCAAACAAAAAATAAAGTCTACCTAGGCCATCTTTTCACCTTTCTTTATTTCATAACAGAGAAGCATTAACACATTCATTTTGGAAAACAATAAGAAACTGCTAATGAAGTTGTTGCCAATCAAACTCTATAATAACCAATGAGAAAAAACTTCAACTTTTATGATACACTAAGAGACTTTAGAAACTCTGTGGTCTGATGAGATAAAATCATCATCTCAGTTAGTACAAGGTACTCAGGACAAACACTTTTGCAGCTTCTTTATACAAAGCATTACCAACTTGTTCTCAAGAAAAGAGGAATTCTCTTGCTCAAAAGTCATATTATCACTCTTATTTATATCTAAGTCTAGAGTATAAGCATGTGTAGCAGGTTAATAAGTGGATGAAAATCTTTTTCTGAAGGACCATTCTCACTAACTAATATTTTATAAAGGACTTATTTGGTAAATGTTTTTTACTGTATCTGTTATTAAAAAATAAAACGATGGGCATTTTACTTTCACCCACTAAAGACAAGGTCTCAGAGTTCAATTTACCTGACGAGATTCTCATTATCTCCAGTTCCTTTGCAAGTTGCACATTCAGTCCTTAAGTCTTCAGCCTTGGGCTTCTTTTGCAACACAGACTGCCTCTGCCTTCTTTCTCTAGGAACTCTTTCCTGCCAAGCGGAAAAAGAAGTAAACAAAACCAACTCTAACCAGGAGGAAAATGGAAATCACTCAAGCAAGAAAGTTTCCAGCTGAGTAAAGAGAATTTAACTTATTCGAACCTCATGTTTTTCTTCCTCGGGAACAAAGCTTCGCTTTCGTCCTCTGGTTCTCTGGAAAAAAAAAAAAAAGCCATAAAAACACTTCAGGTTGAAATCATGATAAACATAAATTTTCTCTGTCAACTTTTATGGCTTAAGTTATAGTTGAAAAACTGGTGTTCTAATCACTATTAGATTGCTCCACTGAATGTTGGTAAAATTATGTCATTAATTATACTAACTTAAAAAAATACACATGTATTTAATAGGAAAAGAAATTAATTTTCCAAAACTATTCTAAAGAGTTTTCTTCAACATTTCATACTTATATCTACAATTTACTCAGAGCATTTAATTTTTCATATCTTATCACAAATCACTTCTACAACTAAAACACTGAAACTGGAATAATATCCTATCTATTGTTTTCCCACACATGTACCTATGCACACGTTAGTGCAATTAAAAAAAAATCCTTAAGTAGCCATAAAAAAGGTGGAAAGAAAAGACCTCATAATTCCCAAATCTTAGTTAAAATAAGACTAAAATAATTTAGTAAAAAAAAAAAATGTATATCCTGTATTTTGGACAACATTTATCATTTGAAAGAAAGTATCTACATGTTTAAAAGTAATACAAGAGTATCTGCAGTCAATATGGTTTAACTCTCCATCTTACACAGCATTGACTATGAAGACTTAAAATTCCCATCTACAGACCACTGCTCTGGAGGAGATGAGACAGAAGTGCCACTTAGATTGTACTCTAAAGCTGAGGTTAAAAAATATTTATTTCAAGGTTAGATAAGTACCAAGTAATTCTCAACAGAACTATTTTCTAATATGCATCAATTTTCTAAATGCATCAGTGCTGTCTTAAAGCTTCAGTTCTTCAGAATATCCAGTGCATCTCATACTGCGTAATTTCCCGCCAGTAACCGAAAGCCAATTTAAGTCATTCAAGACAAGCGATGTAGCCATTTATGTCTGTATTGCCTGTTGGTATCTTTTAATACATTATAGAATAATTTAAGAAGAAAAGAGAATATTGTATCTAGGAAAGAGCTTCAAATGCAGGCCCTACTAATACTAAATAAGTTCTTACTTCTAAACTAAGGCAGTATGTCGCTCTTCAAACAATCAACCACTGACCATGCACACTAATGTCTATGGGCACTTGTTTAAAATGCAAAATTTGTAGGCTCTTTCATCCAGCATATTGAATTAGACTTCCTTTTAACAGCAATTTGAAGTTACATATGTTAACTTTAAGGACATTCACACAAAAGAGCTCTAACTATTGACAGTGAAGTCTCAAGTCTTTACAGTTTATGATTACCTCTTTGCATGCTTTCCTTTTGCTTTCTACAACAGTTATTATTCATCTCTAAACTTGTAAGGGCCATGTTATATTCACCTTTCTATACCCAACTAAATGCAATACAATGTTTATTCCATCCAAAGGTTCAGAAATCAAAAAAAAAAAAAAACTATAAATGGTTCATTAGAAAATAATAAATGATTGCACTACACTATGTAATTCAAACACAAGATTTGGCAAAAAGTTTAAATTATTTTTCCCTTTCCTGGTACTCATTTAATTACCATATACAGGCCATTTCAGTAAGGTTTCAAAATGGTATACTAAAGGGAAAATACTCAAATTACTCATTAAAATTCCACAAACTTCTGCACATAATGCTAAAAGGCTTTTGCAACCCTTATTGGGGGGGGGGGAGGGGTAGCCAAGTAACTATAATTCATCTAGCTTTGAATGATTTTCTCAGCTACTTAGATCACCCAGCTCTTGGTCATCCACAGTACATTTACTTGGAAAAATATGATAAAACAGACTTCAAAAATATCTGAATGGTCCCAAATACCATGAATTTAATTTTCATTTTTAGTCATTTTAATAGGCAGTTTTTCTAAACTAACATCCAAAAATATTCATCTAAAAACATTATTCAATTTCTCAACAATGCAGTCTTAACATTATTAAGAGGCTAATTTGTACTTGTGTAAAATTAGCTAAAATATTAGTGTAACAAAGGTAGACTCTAGGATATGTCATTCTCTCTCAATTGAAGACCTGGTGGGGGCAATTATAACAATAATACATATAAAAATGCCATAATAAAATTCATTAATTTGTATGCGAGCTTAATTTTTTTAATTAATAAAACAAATGAAAACTATAAATTGCCCCTTGGCTTAATAACTCACATGTGAAGAAAAGGAAACACATTAAACTTGTTAATTCCCCTCGCCAAAATAATGACCTAAAGGAAGCAGTGTTCTCTGGAAAACCATAGGGTTCAGTCAAGACTGTGAAAAAGCAGTGTGACTACTGTATTTACTGTGTTAAAAAAAAATACATTTAAAATGCAAAAATTTATGAGTCATGGAAAATAAAAATCACAGGACTTCAAAGAAAATAAAGTTGATGCATGTGAGAACGTAAGACTAGGAAAGGACAGGTCTCAGAAAGCCCTCAGGCACGTGTGTAAAAGATGAAAAGTCACCAGATGCACAGTATAAAGAAATGAAAAACAGAGTTAGAAAGCTTTCAAGCTACATTAAAGTTATTAGAAAACATGCCCAAAAGTACAAATTTCATTTTTAAAGTAACTTCAAAAGGGACATGAACACTCTCATTTATTTGCTTCTAAAGTAATTTCTTTTCCTAAAAGGAAGAAGATACTTTCCACACAAAAACAATGCAGAGAAAATGTCTATGTAATACAGTCCTCAGAAGGAAGCACCACCAGGCTGCCTTTACAGTAACTCCAGAGTGTCACCTGTGAACTATAAGCCGTACAAAGGAGAATGGGAGCAGGACCCAGCATTTGAGTCCGTGAGTCCACAGGAACAAACTGCAAATTACAACAATAATTATTTATGAGAAAAATGAAGATGAAATATGAAAAAAAAATCACACTATATGTATATCTTCTAAAGTTTTAACTAAAGTTTAACTAACAAGACTGTTCTTAAATGTAAATCATGTTTTAATATCTTTACTATGATACAAACTATGTATCCATTTAAAAATTGGTATAAGAAAACGTTAGCTGAGCAACTAAACTTGGCTGAGTTATTGTACTGACTGGTTTTATATCAACTGAACACAAAACAGTCATTTGGGAAGAAAAAACTTCCATTGAAAAAATAGTCTCGCCGGGCAGTGGTGGTGCATGCCTTTAATCCCAGCACCCGGGAGGCAGAGCCAGGTGGATCTCTGTGAGTTCGAGGCCAGCCTGGTCTACAGAGTGAGTTCCAGGAAAGGCGCAGAGCTACACAGAGAAACCCTGTCTCGAAAGAAAAAGAAAAAGAAAAAATAGTCTCACTAGATGTAGGCAAGACTGTGGTGCATTTTCTTTATTGATGACTAGTGTGGAGCTTTGAACATGCTAGGCAAGTGCTTGACTAATAAGCTATATTCCCAGCCCTTGTCAACTCATTTAATTAGCTCTCTATCTAGTGCACACTCTTCAAGCAACATCTCTGGCCATTTTTCAGTGCTTTAGTAAGTAAAAAGATAGCATGTTCTATTATAAGAGAATTTAGTTCTTAGTTGCTTTATTATCTGAACATTAAAAAAACCCTGTTTTTACCCTAATATCCATTAATAGAAGTCATTTAAGTAAATAAACAAAGAAAAAAGCTTTGCTATATCATAAGTCTTATTCATTCATTAAACATTAAGAAAAACTTAATTGTAATGGTAATAAAGACAACAAAGGAGTGCTATGAGAATATTATTTCAATTATTCCCCATAGTGTCCCTTCTAGAGCTTCATCATTCAGTCATCTTCTCAACTTTGTAATACCATATTGGGTTTCTCTCATAACTCTCATGAAAATAGGGAATACTAGCAATAATAAAGGTTTTTAGCGATCATTTACAAGTGTATACTGTAAGTCATCTGCTTAAGTGTATACTGTAAGTCATCTGCTTAAGAATATAAATAGCTTAAAAAATGGCTCAATGGTTAAGATCACTGACTACTCTTCTGGAGGACCCAGGTTAACTTCCATAGCAGCTCAAAAATGTCTGTAACTCATGCATGTGATGCACAGACATATGCAGGCAAAACACCACTACACATAAAATAAATAAACTTAAAAAGAAGAATATAAATAGAGAAGAAAGTATATTCTTTTGTGTTTGGGTAAAATGTTCTGTAAATATGTTAGGTCCATTTGGTTAATAACATGTTACCTACAGTACTTCTCTGTTAAGTTTTGTCTGGAGGACCTGTCTATTAATGAGAATGGGGTACTGAAGTTTCCCACTGATCAGTGTGTGAGGGTCAATATTAAGCTGCAGGAGTGTCTTACAAACTTGTGTACCCTTGTGTTCGGGGCATAGATGTTAAGAACTGAAATGTCATCTTGGTAGATTTTTACTTTGATGAGTATGTAGTGTCCTTCACCAAATCTTTGATTAGTTTTGGTTTAAAATCTATTTTGTTCGGTATTAAAATGAGCATACCAGCTTGTTATTCAGGTCTACTTGCTTAGTATATCTTTTCTAACCCTTTACCCTGAGGCAATGTCTATCCTTGATGTTGGGGTGTATTTCCTAAATGCAGCAGAAGGAAGGATCCTGTTTTCATACCCATTCTGTTAGTCTGTGTCTTTTTATTGGAGAATTAAGACCATTAATATTGAGAGATATCAATGACCAATGATTGTTGACTCCTGATATTTTGTTGTAGTACTAGTTGTTGTTAGTGGTGGGGTGTGTGCGTGATCATTTCATTAGATGCAGAAAGTCTTTGACAAAATTCAACACTTCTGCACAATAAAAGTCCTGAAGAGATTAGGGAAACAAAGGACAAACGTCAACATAATAAAGGCAGTTTACAGCAGGCCTATGGTGAACATCAAACTAAACGGAGAGGAACTCAAATTGATTCCACTAAAATGAGGAACAAGACAAGGTTGTCCACTCTCCCCGTATCTATTCAATATAGTACTTGAAGTCTAAGATAGAGCAGTAAGACAACTATAAGAGATCAAGGAGATATAAATTGGAAAGGAAGAAGTCAAAGTATCGCTAGTCAA